AATAACAGCTGTGGAAGTAGCCTAGCGCTCTGTGGTGAAGAAATGTGCAGAAGGAGGAAGTTGTCGCTTTTGTGGTTAATGAAGAGGATAATGTTGGTTCACAATAACATGCGTGGATAAACAATTTTATACAGAGAAGAATATAGTATGGAGCTTATCACATTTTAGTCCCGGAACTCAGACTGCATGGTTTGCAGCATATTTCAGGTTTTACACTTGTGCTCTGAATTTATAGTAGTACATTAAGATCTACCAGCATCGTCTCCTTTTGTTCCTGTTTTTATGGAAATGATGCGTCTCGCTACTCAGTTATCAAGTGTCAGCTGTCAAAATGGTGCTTGATTTAGGCCATTCTTACCAGAAAAGCTCAACACTATATCGACTTTAACATGTTAATGTATTAACATTAGAAATGGATGGGTTTTTTTCTATAAATTTTGAATTAAATCTACAAAACCTAAAATATTACATGTATCATATATGATTGTATAGATACAAGAGCAAAGGTTCTGCAAAAGTTTCCCTTTTTTGACAAATGATTCAGTATAGCACTTTTTAAATAACAGAACTGTGTCAATTGAAAATAGATTTCAGTAGAAGCAAATTTCTCTTCTAATCATCAGCTGTTGATTGGCAACTAAAAAAAGAACATAAATCAAAAAGGTTTCTATGGGCTTTAACCAACATACTATAGGCTCATTCTGAAAACATAGCCCTATGCACGTTTCTGCAGTCCACAAATTATGTAACCAGAGGTACGTATGGCTGCAATTTTTTTTTTTTTTTAAACAAACGCTATGCGGTGGTATGACGCCAATCCTTTTCGCTCTTACCAGACTGCTTACCTCCGTATGCATACAGAATTGCATTATGGAACATTGATCTTCATTGTCTTCCTAATAGTTTAAAGTAATATATTGTGTGGGTTTGTGTTGTAAATAAGGTTACACAAACATTTTAATAAACAGTATATTTTCTGTTATTTTGCAGACTTATTTCACTTTATACAATTTCAAACTACTAAAATGTGAATAAAAGCCACTTTGTTAAACTGAAGAGTTGAAAGTCCACAAAGCAAAGATTAAAATCCCATAATGCAATTCACAACAAATGGAAAACACCCTTGAATCAGAATATATAAAATGTTCATTAACAGATATTTTTTACAGTACAAAGTATAATGCTGCTATATAAATCTACTGTATGCCTTATATTAGGGGTCCCCAAACTTTTCATCCGGCGACCCCCAAAATAGCAATGCCAGTAACTTTCGAGTGCTGTAAATGTGCCAGAAAGTTTAACCTGCTTTAACTATATACTATGTTATCTTCAGTAGGTTATACAATCTGGTAATTCTAATGGTTTAATAAAATTAATTGGATAATTAGATTGTTGAAAATCACCAAGAGACCCCCCTGCATGCAGAAGGACTTTTTAATATGTCAGTAACCTGGGTCAACTGTATGCCGATATAAAATCGCCACGTTTAAAATCTGTTTTCTTAAAAAAATCTACTTCTTCACTGCCTTAATTATATAAGCTATAAAGTGGGTCTCAGAATGTACAAGAAGCACTGCATTAGGTAACATTTTTCCAATTCACGTCTTTAATTTAAAGTATTTAAATTTATTTTACTCCAGTATTTCCAACTGCCTTTCTGCACTAGCCTGCTCCCAAGTTTACAGTACTTCAATATCAATGCAATATTATGGACTAAAAAAGATCCGCTGTAAATGCTGTTTTCAGAGTGTACACATGTAGACAGGATAGTCTATACACAAACGGCTTTCTGACGCTACCTAACGAGTGAATCCAAGTTACCAAGAAATGCAGAGGTCAAAGTTATTTTATGATTAGCGCATGCCTTACCTCATCATTAGTATAATAAAGTAATGTTTAGTTCATTTATTAACCAGTTAAACTCTGCTGCTATTTTAGGATTTTCGCCTAGATTTTGGGCCTACCCAAATTTAAATGCTTTCCAAATCCACATGCAGAGGTGTAAATGCAAAAATTTGGAATCATTTTAAAGAAAACCCTTTGAATTTTCATAAAACACTATTGAAAATGTTTAAAATAACTGTAGATGTTGTCTGTGTTATAATAAACACTTTTAAAAAAGAGGCGCTTTTTGTATTTTTTTTTACAAACTCAAATTTGAAAGTGTCCCTTTTAGGTTCTATGTGGTCTAGCGTGCTGTAATTAATTTAGGTGGTTCCTGCACATGTCTGTAATCATAGGACAAAAGAAAAATGTCTCTACCTTATTCTATGCAAAAGTTATTGTATTCCAACTAGGGTTGTAACGGTATGAATTTTTCACGGTATGATAATCGTCTAAAACAATACCACGGTTTGACGGTTTCGCGGTATACGGTATGTTACAAATGTTACAAAATAATAGAACAGTGAAGCAAATTTGACTTTTTCCAAATAATATATTTTTAGTTACTATAAACAACACCACTTACAATGAACAAATAAAAATAAGAAAATAATAAATAATGTGTCAAAGTCCAAATAAAGTCCAAATAAACATGGTGCAAATCCTCAGTAAAAAATAGATATAAATATTTACTATACTATAAATAGTTACATAACGAAACTAGATTCAATATGGAACATCCTTAGGTTTATGTGCCAGCATGGATATGGTTGTCTATCGATATGGATTTGGATATGGTTGTCTGCAATGCAGACAAACAGCTGCATCTTCATTTGCGTCTTTTGAAAACAGCAAGAGCAGCAGTTCGTCTTTGCTGTGTCACTGTTTTGTCATGTTTCTGTGCTGCTGTGCATGCAAAAGTACTTAGTATGAGAATTATTTCAAGCAAAACTTTTTTTTTTGCGTTTTATTTAGCCGCGCATAAATGTATGCCTATCTCTCATTCCGTGTTGTTCAAAAAGCTCATTGTTGGTCCACAAACAAAAGCGAAACCTATGCTTATTGGTTGTGATATAGCGAGTTTGAACCAATCTGGGCATGGAGGAGGGACAATGCATCAATGTATCATGTCTGATTTGTCCGGAGACACAGTGACGAGCGTTTCTTTGTCAAATCAGCGTTGTCAAATGTTGATGACGTAACCGCACTGATTCCGGAGCCTCTGAAAGTCCGCGAATGTTATGTGATACAGCACTGGAAAGCTGAGATTCTCTTCTTTATGCCAATCTTTGAATTGTATGAATCGGATCAGCGGATCAAAAGTTATTAAACATTTAAGAGCAATACTTATTTTTAGCCGCGGGCGGCTGTCTCGGTCTTTAAGGGTTAAAACCGTTGATATGCAATTGTTCATGGTATGATAATCGTGCACGTTCAAATCGTGGTAAACCGTCATACCGGTATATTGTTACAACCCTAATTCCAACTGATGAGAGGTGCTGTACAAGCCACAGGGATCAATGATTGTTTTCATATTTCACTATTCTTTTGTTTGATAAAACATAATTCACTATATTTGGACCACGTCTGACATATAAAAGGATTACTTATGCACATCACCTAAAAAACAGAGGAGAATGGCCCTGAAGCACACAGCATAAGGTAAGAGAAGACAGCTGTCTGTGCTATCTGGGGCTGCTTATTGATCATGAATGTATTGTTTACATTTCTGCGCCATGGAAACACCGCCATTCATTTGGCAACTGTTTGATATGTGAATATAATTCAGTAAAAAGAATGCTAGAACCGTATGAGCACCGGCAAGAGCTTTCATTTGAGCTATAACTTGTACATGTGACATATGAAAAATATGAAACTGAACCAATGTTCAATACCCAGCCCGGGTATCCAAAACACTGTGTATTTAGGTGTAAAAACATTTTGTACAGTAGAATAAAAACCAAAGTGATGCATATGTGCATAAAATATAGATTCTACACTTTCAAACCACTTACAGGGGTCTGGTGCAATTTAAATCCCTAGCCCTTTTAATCTTAAAGCGAAAGTCGATGACGTCACACCATGGACCGGGTCAGCGGAGTTAAAGTGGTTAATGCATCATTATTCATGTACTGTTATTGTAAAGTGTTACATTTCTTAGTATTTCTTCCTTTGTGTTCAACAAATGAAAGAATGTCATGACAACTGACTGCTAACAGTATTTGTACATAAATTTCAATGAACCTACTCATGATTGCCAAGAAATAGCAATCTGTTCCTCACACAGGGCTAACAAGTGGCTCAAAGAGACTATTATGAGCCATATGGACTGCTTTTATGGTGCTTTTATGTCCAATTTGTATAAATGACGAGTTAGTCTAAATGGCTTACAATGTCTGCCCTTTTTATGAGTTCATATTTGTTCATATTCCAGACGCTTTTAGCTTTAGTGACTACAAATGAAGTGGAAGACATGCAATGCAAGCAAAAGCATGCTGTGATCCAAAGTCCATTATAGCAAAATCTGGAAAAACAAGTTAGAATACACAGAAAAAAATATACATTTTATTTTATTTATATATACTTTGAGATTTAAACAAGGGCGTAGCCAGGGGGATACGTCCCCCTCACTTTTAGAGACTGACAATTTAGAAACAGGTGATTAATAATTATATGAATGTAAACTTTTGGACCTCCTATTATTTATAATTGGGAGACAGAAGATAGTCCTCTAGATGGCGCCATCGATGCTGCTTTAAAACACTCAAAAAAGGTCAACTATATTATCCTCAAAAGATGTCAAATCATATTTTGCATATTTACATAATAACATATATAGTCAAGCATACTCAAAACACCAACATCAAATTAAAGAATCATCAGCTCTCTACACTTCTCTTCATTCTAAAGTGCATTTATTATTTAACTTTATATTATATTACTTATTTTAGATCTTGTTGATAACAGTGTTATTTATAGTACTATAACAAGATTCCAGTATGGGAGATTGTCTCCATTAAAATATCATATTCAAAACAGCTTTCTACAGAAGCATAGTTCCCTTGTTGCATCATTACTCCTCCCCGCACTCTCTCTTTCATACAAGGGGAAACAGCCAGCAATTGCTCATGTGAAGACACTGTTGAGAGCTCTGATAACAAACACCCTAGGAAGGACAGGGGGAAAGGACTGAAAATGGGTAAGAACCTATATCTATTAAAATTCCAGAGCATTTGATACCACATATACAATAACAACTTAGTTTTAATGCTCCTTTAGGTAAAAAGAATTGTATGTCTACAGCCTTTTCGAAATGACATGCATTATTGAGTCCTCCACCCTTCTGGTTGAGCTTCATTATCTTGATTTGTTGATTTGATCAACATCACGTAGCTTGACTTGAAAGCTTTGACTATAAATATAATCTCATCATCTAATGGTGCTGTTGAATTTTGGTTTAAACCACTAGTTTAAGATAAAATGACAAACAAAAAACATATATATTTTAAATCTATTGTGGCTATAGTTCTTGGAGGGTTTACTTGTGCAATACGTGCTGTCTGAGCAGTCAGCAGTGGTGAAAAAGCTGTGGTCATTTTATACAGGATGAGACATTTCTAACTGTATTAATGCAAATGCAGGCTAAAGCAAACTTCATTTGCTTGGATGCAAAACTGACACCAGCAGCATTGAGATAAGAACAAGAGTAAAATATTAATTTTGAGTTACAGCACTGCATGTTCGACACTGGCTGGTGTCTTGTGGTATATTTTGCATGTGACAATTTTGCTGACAAAGTATGTTTAAACAATGAGCCATCATTTAAAAAAAAAGCAGTAAAAACCAAAAGTATACCTACACTGTAAAACCCAACAGTCAACTTTATCATACGAAATGAGTGTAGTTCACTCAAAATTGACTGAAAGTTAATTCTACTTATTTGAAAAGAGCTTTGAACTCAGTGTTGATGGTAATGAGTGAATTAAATACCTCAGTACTTCATCTTAAATGAAGTACTGTACTCTGATTAGTTTTTTTTTTTTTTTTTTTAACTCAAATGGTTTATAGCAATCGGTTTCCTCAAATGGTTTGAGTTACCTTAACTTATTTGGTTTCATACTCTGTACTTGTACTACTCGGTAACTTGGTTTAAGTTCTCTTCATTTATCAGGTTTTACTGTGGTCAAATTGCTTTGTTTACTCAAATTGATTCAGTTAACAGTACTCATTAGGATTAGTTTTTGAACTTAAATGGTTTGTTGCAATTGGTTTCCTCAAATGGTATGAGTTACCTTCACATTTTGGGTTTTACAGTGTGTTTATCTTCACATTTAAAGCAAAAATTGTAATTCGCCAATAGATTTTTTCAGCCTTTGAATGACCAAACATTCTTGCTTTGTTAAAAAAAAGGCATCTAAACATTTAAAGATCTCTTTGTTGTTAGCTGTTTCTTGTATTTTACCCAATTAGAATCTGTTTAAAATTGCCAAAGCCCACTTCTTTTTTTTTAATATCTACAGGTTTAAATTTCCCAATTTTCATGCCCTTCCTGAACAAAATCCTATTGCTCAACTTTTTCCTGATCAACTGTTTCCAAAGTAGAACCATTTCTAGTTTATATACTAAGTTTGCATCATTAGTATCCACTTCTAAATCTACTCAAAGAGACTCCTGGCAACTACACCTTAAAATCAGCTTGACAGATGTGACTGGAATGAGGCTATATATTTGTGCTTGACATAGCCTTATACAATTTAAAGTGGTACAAAGACTTCATCTTTCCAAGGCCAAGCTGGAAACGATGTATACCTCTGTTGACCCCACCTGTACAAGATGTAAGCAGTCCCCTGCTACATTAGCCCATATGTTTTGGTTACGTCCCAGTCTGTATTTTGGTCAAATATTTTTTTTATCCTATTCCATAATATTTTGTAAAGATGTTTGTGTAAATCACTTAACTGCACTGTAAAAAATCCTGGTTACTTTTATTTTTTAAGCCGAAGCTAATTAATCAATGATAATGATGTGTTGCATTTCCTTACTTTAGAAAAAAATAAGACTTGATTTAAATGCTTCTAGGTCCAAGTTCACTGCCATGTGGAGACCTTTCATAAATTACTTTCAAAGCCAAGTGTAATTGTAAGTTGACAAAATGATGCTGATGCTGCCAGGTTTTGCTTGTATTCTACTGATGTTGTCTTCATTTTTTTAGCTTTGTTTATATGTACAAATCTTTTTTTTTTCAAAATATAACAAAAAAAATTAAAACTAGTAAACTTTCTAATTTAAAAACTAAATATTTTAGATTTTTTAAGAACATGCAACAAATTTTTGTGGAAAAATATTTAAGAAAAATCTAATTATATCTGACAAAGATTTAAATCTGATTTACAGTAAAAAGGAAAAGTCAGAAATGAAATTCTTTTTTAACAGTTTTCTCACTCTCTCTATTTTTTTTTAGCAAACAATACTATGGGACTGAACAACACAATGCAGCAGGAGTTAACAGCCACTGAAATCTTCAATATATGCATCACTACTGTAATCTTTGCAGTGGGTATCATTGGAAACGCACTTGTTATATACGTGACGGGCTACAAAATGAAGACAACTGTCAACTCCATTTGGTTTCTAAACCTGGCGATCGCAGACTTCATCTTCATCTTATTTTTAATCCTGACCATATTTACCTTGATTAACAAGAGGGTTTGGTACTTTGGTGACTTCATGTGCAAGTTAGCCTCCTTTGTGTCAGTGCTGAACATGTTTGCCAGCATTTTCTTGCTCACCGCTATCAGCCTGGACCGGTGTATGTCCACCTGGTGGATTGTTTGGGCTCAAAATAAGCGAACTCTTTTCAAAGGCAGGATCATCTGTGCATTTGTGTGGGTTTTATCCATCTGCTGCAGCATACCGTTTGTCATCTGCCGTTCAGGAGAGAATAAAACATGCAAATACAATCCTGGTACCAATATAAACTTTCTGTTCACATACAGGTTTATTGTGGGCTTTCTCATCCCCTTTCTAGTCATTGCATCTTCATACATTGCTATAGGAGTGAGGGCCAAACGTCTTAAAAGAGGGAAGAAACTTAAGCCTTTCCGTGTCATTTTATCAGTAATCCTGGCCTTTTTCATATGTTGGCTTCCCTTTCATCTTCAGCAGCTAATTACTGCAATGACAAAGGGGAAAGATGAATGGAGTGGCATTCGAAAAGTATTATATAATATAGGACCCTTTGTTGGCAGTCTGGCTTACTTCAACAGCTGTCTGAACCCCATCCTCTATGTGTTCATGTGCGAGGAGTTTAAAAAGAAGCTCAAACAGTCTCTGCTGCTGGTGCTGGAGACAGCGTTTGCTGAAGATCTGCCTTTCCGAACACGTCAGTCCACCTGCTCAGCCTTCTCAGAATCACAAGGTCTCCAACAGCCAAACGACGCAACCTTCTCATCTTCTGCTAGCAGCCAGGACAACAAAACAACTCTATAGAAAAGCAGCTTTCAATAGTCATTCCAAGCACAAAAACAAACTCCCCACAAAACCCATAAGGGATTCCATGTTTTCATAAGAAACCCCCATAAACTGCAGGCTTCCTTGATATTGCAAACAACCTAACAGATACTATGGGAGAACAGAAGACTAGGCCTCCCTGAAAGCCATATTTGATCTAAAGACAATCTAAGACATATTTCTGATTGCTCCTGGTGATTTCATTCAGCCATTTGGTCCGCTTTAGACAACAATACCAAAGGTTTTGAGAACAACATGAAGGATGCCAGATCATGACATGAAAAGGATGTGAAGGATGCCAGATTTGTGTAAGAAACCCCTCTAAATGTGCTTATTTTTCCATCATCGCTTTAGGACTGAAAAACAACCAATGCCTCAATTCTGCAGGACAACTGAGGACTTGGCAACACTGAAAGCCATATTTGATTAAAAAATCTATGGTCCTGTTTATACATTTTGAGATGTGTTTTGGTGGATTGAATCACAAGAGAGACACATTCACCTAGTGAATAATCACTCTTGTCCAATTTTGAGCACATTACCAAACTTTGAGGGTATTAACAAACTCTTCACTGTGCTGCCTTGATGCCATTGGGGTTGCCAGGTAGGTTGTAACAAACAACCCACAAACTGCAAGTCTGTCTTTGTCTGCAAGTCGGTTTAGTTCATTAGACTGAACAAATTACCTGCTGCAACTGTAGATCATCTCTAATGGAGGACTGAGGACTTGGCAACACTGAGTATGTTTACATAGACACCATTAATCCAATTTTTATATGATTAAGACAATACCCTGATTAAGAGTCTACTATGTTAACATTGATTTTTGATTCATTTAATCTGACTAAGGTCATAATAGAACTAAACAGAAATGGAATTAAGACATGTGAAGTACACTGATTTTAGTGTCATTATTGAAGTGCAGTACATGTAAACAGTAGTTTAAATTCCATTAAAACTACACTCTACCAGCAGTTCATAGCACATCCAATATCTAGTTTGTCATGGGGCCATGCATGAAATGTACCTGTATGAAATCGAAAGTGCCAAACTGCAATTAAAGTCGACAAACCTGACTTGAAATTACATAAAACTTCACAGGAAATGTGGATAGGGTGGTGACGCAATGACGTTATCGATCTATGTGCTATAACATGGAAAACAGGATCATGACAGGAACATTCAACAAGCAACTCGTGTAAACACCCTAATCATATTATTGTCTTATTCAATTTAAAGCAAATAATTTTATTACTGATGTCTATCTAAAGGTAGTCACTAAAAGCCATATTTGCTTTAAAGACAATCTGAAGCAGGGATGCCCAACCTTGCTCCTGGTGATCTACCTTCCTGCAGAGTTTAGCTGCAACCTTGATCAAAGCCACCTGTCTTTAATTACCAAGTGCTCCTTTAAATCCTACTGAATTGATTTAGTTAATTTTGATCAGAGTTGGAGCTGAACACTGCAGGATGGTAGATTTTCAAGAACAATGTTGAGCACCCCTGATCCAAAGTTGCCTTTCCACTGCACATGACAAATAACAAGTGACAGACTTGAAGTCATTCATTTCCAAAAGAGAGTAGTCCGGGAGATGCGTGGAGTTCCGATCATCTCCGTATGCAGACAATTCTGATCCGATTTGAGGTGTGGATCCATTAAAATATACTCCTGCAACTATACTGTATGCAACCGGCTGTTTGCATACGGTCGTTATGTTTGGAAAACAGAAAAAAAGACTATATTAAAATATATATATATATATATATATATATATGCAGTGTGCAGTGAAAAGGCAGCTTAACGACCCATTCACACGGGGCATCAGCGTCAATGCTTCCCATTCACTTTGAACTCAGGTGTTGCCGAACTGCATTGTTGATCCATCGGCACCGCTTCCATGACATTGCTTGCTGCAGAAGTTGGGAACTTCTCAAATTTTCAAGGGGCCAACAGACACATCAGCCAATCAGAATGCTTTATGCAAATACACCAGCTCAGACAGTAATCTCTTGCGGACTAATTTCATTGGCTGATGCAGCTATGACAATTGTGTCAGCCTTAACTTTAGACACACCCTCTGTCAAGCATTGACGCTGAAGCCCTGTGTGAATTGGGCGTTAGGCCTTGTTTTCATGTATAAAGATGCATGTTGTTGGATTGGATCACAAGTAGACCAAACTCGTCTATTTTGTCCACTTTAGACTCCTTTCTGACTTTTTAATGGGAGGTCATATGAATGCATGAAGAGATAAGTAAAACTCGATAGTTTCTGATTTGATTTGGGTTTATGTTAGAACCGGAACTACTGTTTTACCAGTACTAAATACAGAATTATTCATATTTTTTGCCTTAAATTTCAGATGCCAAATTTGGCCAGCGCACTTCAACAACAAAACTGATAAAGAATGAGGTCAGAAGGCAGAGAGGAGATGGCATTTAAACATATCTGATTTCAGGGCCGTTTACACCACAAAAGCAATCTGGGTAAACAGATTTTCAACCACATCAGGAAGTGGCCAAAAATGGGCTTCGTTTACACCTGCATTTAGCATTGGCCACTTGTGTTTAGATAATTGAAACATACACCTTAACAGCAATTTAAGTGGTATTAAAAGGAATAGACAGATATTGTTTGGACTAACAGATAGCCAGCCAAAATTCTCGCTATTGTTCAATGTTGCTGTGTCTATATGGGTTGCGATTTTTTAAAAGGCTGTTTTGTATTCTTTTTGCAGGAAAACTACAAATGTTTTTGTACTGTCTACTTGTATTTGCTTATTAAAATGTCTTTGAGCAAAGATGTCAACATAATATTTCCATCTGCTTGTCTTATTTGTATCTATCTATCTATCTATCTATCTATCTATCTATCTATCTATCTATCTATCTATCTATCTATCTATCTATCTATCTATCTATCTATCTATCTATCTATCTATCTGTCCGTCCGTCCGTCCGTCCAATGTGTTTGATTAAACAAATCTACAACGAATTGAGACTCAGAATTATTGAGATACAATTCTCCTTATTTGCTAATGGTACTGAAGCAAACGTTGAGAGCAATGAATAGAAGACAATAATAATAATATATTTTAAATAAACAGGTAACAGTGACATGGTCAACAAAGGGAGTTATTTCTCAATATGAGGCCACTGTCTGAATGTCCTACCAATGAATTGCATTGTTTCGAAACACAGTGACTTGGAAAGACTTCAGAAAGCATTCCTTACGCAACTTACTTCTGAATTTCCTGTAAACGTGATTCAGGCAAATAAATAACTATCAAATAAAACTGCTCCTAAAATGCTGATTTAATCATTTGGCATATTTTGATGTTTATTTTTTCAGCCTGCTCATTAAATACAGACTAAATGAATACAGCAGCATCTATCACAGTATGATTTAGCAGTTTTAAGAAACATTTTGAAATATTCTTTAGCAATTATCCGCACTGTTGATGAAATGTGTAGATAGCCATTAAAGATAATAAAGCATTACAGACCAAAACTGTGTAGATATCAAGCGCCAAAGCAATTCACAAGGAACCGCTTATTTAAAGTTTTCCTCAAATCTCTTGACATTCTTTTAAAGTACTAAATTCTAGGTCTATTTCTAGGTGGGAACTTACCCCTATTTGAAACAAAAAAGTCAAAGTTGCACACAATAACATTTGTATAATTGGATATTCTGTTGTTTAATATTTTTAGTTATCATATATTTAATTAAAATCAATTTTCAATCTTTAAAAATCAATCTTTATTTCTATAGTGCTTTTACAATGTAGATTGTAAACAAAAATAAAAAAATAAGAATGAAGAAGCCAATAATTCAGACTGTGGAACATTCCAGTAAATCTAAAAGTTATAATGGATAATGCTGGTGTACTAATTCTAGTTATATTAAAACTGATTCAGCTCAATTTAGTATGAATGTCATTTCAGTTTAAATCAGTTCTGTTTAATACAAACGCCACTACTGAAGGCTGATCCACAAGTAAGCAGCTCCACGATGTGCAGATCTAGCAGTTCCAACCAAACAAACCAAAGGCAACAGTGACAAGGATCCAAATCTTCCCCAACTGATGGAGGCGAAAAAACAAAAAAAAATGTACCACTTTTTTTGCATCTTTAAATGTAGAGCTGCATGATTTTGAAAAAAAACTGCATTTGTTTACAGTGCAGATGATTCCCTTTTTGGTATCTTTATGGTTAAACTTTGCAATTACTCCACAAATTAAGCGTTTTCAGCTGTGGCTCCTGATCAATTTTAATCTCGATTTATAATTGCACATCCTGTGATGTGTCTATTACAGATACACAAATTGCAAAATTGATGCTGACAAGTTAGCCCTAACTGTAAAATGTAATTTAATGAACATTGTTGTATTCCTTACCACAGAGCACTGCAATGGAGTACATCAGTGCAGTGCAGTCACGTCAAATACTGAAAGGGACAATTTGTCCATTTCTAACAATACAATTAGTTTTTCTCAGTGGCTTTGGTGCATTTCTCACAACACTATTTACATTTGCACAACAGTTAATGCATTTCTCAAAACACATCATATAGTAGCAGTCTCTCATTCCTTCCAACAAATTGCAAATGCTTTGGACATGCATCAATTGCTTTCATACAACTTTCTGCTGTTTTATAACATTATCATTTGCTTATGTCATGTCAGTCAACATTAACTAAACTTGTGAATGCTGAATAGTCATTCCATAGAAAACTAATAGTCCTCATTTCATTACTTGAGTCATTACATTCAAAAATGTTGAACTATAGTTCAACTATAGTTTTTTTATAGTATTATAAAAAGATTTTATAAAAATTGTTAGACAGATTTCGACAACTATAGTTGTCGAAATCTGTCTAACAATTTTTATAAAATCTTTTTTCCTGAAAATGTCTTCTAAAATGAACAATTTTTTGAATGATTTACAGACCTGTGTATGTTATAGGGTCAGTTCCAAGATGTGCTGCAATGTTGTTTACAGCTGTGCTCAGCTCTACCCTAAGAGAGTTTATGTTTGTTGTAAATAAGGGTGTGTTTATTCTTTTGCACAATGCTGTGAATAAATTAGAACTGCAAAGAGCAAATGCAGTAAACATGTGAAACACATATTCAGTGTCTTGTACTCAGATGCCTCACTAAATGCAGTGATGTCTAACTTTACTGTAGTTTTCAAATGGCTGTGCAAATAGTATATAGTGCTGTCTTGAGCATTTTCAGGAAGTGTCACCAAATAATGACTTTTTTGCATTGGAAAGAATGTACAGAGTAAACGATCATAATGAAAACATGACGAAGCCATTTGACTTTCATGTTCATAAACAATGGTGTCAGGACTTTTCATCTTGATGACACTGACACTTTCATTAACATCAATACTTGCTTTTAAGGAATGAGCTATCCAATTTAAGCAAGTAACACACTTTTGAAAGTTATCAGCAAGGTTTTGCAGTTTGTCCTAATTGTTTTGAGAAATGCATTAACTGTTGTGCAAATGTGAAGTGTTGTTGGAAATGCACTATAGCCACTAAGAAAAACTGTAATTGTCTTCCTGTATATGGTTAGAGTGAAATGGTTAACTACCGCCCTCTAGTGAGAGACACAATTTCCCATTACTTCAAACCATCACACAAAAGCTATGGTCAGGTTTAATCACTGTCTGTCACAATTGTGTTGTGGGCCTGGACTAAATGAATCATGATTACTATGTAACATTCTATTTTGGTTAGCATGATTCAACTACAATCTGCCTTTAGTCATCATTTGGACAATCTATTTTCACAGAAAACAAATGCTGTGAACTCCCTTG